ATCCCAAATAATAATCAACCAGCACATCATACCAACCAACACAAATCACAATTGATACACATCGAATGACGTTCAATGACATTAGATAGCATCAAAAACAGTCAAAATCATTACCATCAAAGTCGCGTAGTCGGAGTCGAATCAACAAAATTAAATTCGGCAACGTTTCGAGTCCATCCCAAAATACCGTAAATGCAATCATCAAATCGTAAATAATACACATGCAAGTAAACAGTCATGTTAGCAATGTGTTGTGTAACCAAAATACAATATTCAGATGCACAACTATAATACAAATACTGTACTGCATACCTTTCTGGATTCATGCTTGCTTCGGCAAGGTGTGGTGCATTTTCACAAGCATTGGTTGGTTGGGGAATAGTGTTTTGCACACTACGGCAAGACTGTTTTGGAGAACCAGCCGATAGGATGTTGAGACGGGACCACAGTGAATTCATTATTGGTGTTGTAGGGTGTCAGGAAATGAAGATGGAAAACGAGTTGATCTCGAAACTTGATAACAATAATATGGGTAGCAGTTGTAATAGTTGCAATAGTTGCTGCAAACTAATACGTTCAAACAAGTAGTGTGTATGACTGTTTAACAAAATACACAAGGGAAACAATCAGATCTGAGATTTGGATCAATAAGTGGATGGACAAGCGAGTTTTGGATCAATAGGTAGATGGACAAGTAAGATCTTGATCAACAACTAATAATGGTGTCGGATCTGGACAAACGATGCACTATTTAACTGAAACAATTGACATGCGAATCCCCGACAAGCCAAACTCTCAGCACGTAATAATCAAATACATTGCAAAAACGTCCCGTAATAATCAAACTATCATCAATTAATTCGCTATTTACCTTGAATCCCAGACTCCGCGCGCATCGTCCTCGTGGAATCGAGTAACACAAACTAGCTGCATTAATGCATCAACACATAATACTTTGAGTTGATTGGACCATATCATCATCATCCCTCCGACTCTGACGGATCGGGGATCTATGTGCCAGCTTGAAGTGTGTGGGGTGGCTGGGTAGTGCGGTGAACGTTCCCAATAGTCAATCCATGTACGATGGACAATGCGTAATGCTGTGCTGCTGACAACT